CATTTCACTTTGTGACATTCATTGTATTATCAACAATAAAACAACTGTCTTCCTACTTGCTTCTTGTGTTTACCATTTCTATGCCTTTTGAGCTTTCTCCATGGCAAATGCTGATACTATGATTTCCTATGGTTGATTGTTCAGAGTACTTTATTATTCTCCTTGTAGGTCTGTCTATTATTTGGCTGAAAGGTATGCCACAGCAGTGACTTCAGTCCTAGGCTTGAAGAATATCTAAGGGCCATAGTGTCCGTGGGTCCACCAGTCTCTATCAGACCAGTTAGCCTGATGGTTTTTATTATTTAGAGCTTTGTTCCACATTTTCCTCCCAGTCTATCCAGGACTTCCTGTTATGATCCCTTTCCAAGTAGTTGGAAGTGCTTGCTGGACACCATCTAGTTCTTTTTGTCTGATGGTTGTGGAGGCTGAGGTTTGTGTGATTCATTAGTCCTTTGGACTAATTGTTTGTATGCCTTTGATTTTCTTCACTCTTCCTTAGTTTGGATCATAACAATAGTTAAACCTTAGTGGCCACACAGAAGCTTTTAAGACCCCACTCCCATTTCACCCAAAGAGGATGTAGAATATTATCTTTGTGAACTCTGTTACGCCAATTAACCTTGATGTCCTCTGAGACTATGACTCTGAGCCCTTAGCCCAGTCCCTCATTTCCGCAATGTGTTTTATTGTGGTGAGAAATTTTCATAACTTTGTCCCCTCTATGCTTGACTATATTCATGGATATACTTGCTGCACATATAAATAAATACAAATGTAGAAATATACTGTGTTGTTGTTGTTAAGTGCTGTTGAGTCTGACTCATAGCAACCCTGTATAGAGTTTCCAAGAAGCGACTGGTAAGCTTGAACTGCCGATCTTGTGGTTCAAACGGACTTTGCAGTCCAGCGCATTAACCCACAGTGCCACATCAGGCCATATATGAGGGGATTTCTAATGTTCTTGGAAAAATTCCATTATCTTTTCATTTCATATTCCTATGAACTTTTTGAAGCCCCCTCATATTTGTGGGTCTGGTCCTATTTGCCTACCCACACCAGTTCAGTGTGCATTGTTATTGCAGGACTCTGTATGTAATAAATATAATTTACCTCTGTTGCCTTAAATTCTTGTGCTCACCTCACTGTCTTCATTTGCCTTGATAATTTTATGCTCACTTCTCCCTTATTGTGTATTGCTTTTCCCTTCACCCTAGTTAATACATGTCCACACTCTAGCAAGTGATTTACCTCTCTGCACCCCTGGTCAGCCTGCAAAAAGGGCCTTGACTTTTTATAGTAAATGGTCTCATGTAATATTTGTTCTTTTTTTTATTACTATCACTCAGTGTATTATCTTACAGGTTCATTCATGTCATGAGATGTTTTGCAAATTGATCATCATTCTTTAATGCTGAATAGAATTCCATAGTGTGTACTATAGTTTGTTCATCCATTTAGCTGTTGCTGGGCACCTTGGTTATTCCCATCTTTTTGCTATTGTGAATAGTGTTGCAATGAACATTGATGTGCATGTATCTATTCATGTAGCAGTTTTTGTTTCTGTATGATACACAAAGATATATCTTCAAAAAGTTTGTGGAAAAATTCAATTGTATTTTAGTTTCATTTATCCATGAACTTTTTGAAGCCTCTTCATTTACCTACTAGTGGATTGCGAAATCATAGCGTATTTCTAAGAAAAAGTGTTTAATGTGCTTTCATTAGCTATGTCAATGAATTAGTATATGTCCCTGAATTACATTTTGTATTTCAAGAATTATAATAGCTTTCCCAAGAACAATGATCTATGTAATTGTTAACTAAATAATTAGAAAAGTTATGTTTGTTTACTTTTTAATGTGTAGAAGGCTATCATATAAATGAAGATTTATGTTTTGTTATATTGGATTAGAAAATTTGAGGTGAAATCATATCTTTATTTGATCACATTATTTTGGTAGGAACTGATGGCTCATATTTCTTCAGGTCATCATCCAAACAAAAGAAGAAAGGTAGCCAATACTAAACTTGTAGTGTGTGTTTTTATTTAGTAACCTTAATGCTGCAAAAGCAAAAATAGAATATATTAGAATAAGATTAGAATGGCTTAATAAAGGACATATGGAGATTTTCATCAAAAAATTTTAGATGAAAACTTAACTGCTTTCATGTATGTTCTGAAACAAATATATACAATTTTTTAAAAATGCTATTTACTAGCATTATAAATCTGTGTATGTGCCTTATATTTTATTCTTACTTTTCTATTTAGCAGAATTTTTCCATTTCTGTTATGTAGGAAGATCTAAAAGTTAATATCTGAACAGAAAGAAGTTTGTTTATATTTGAAAAATATATTTGAAAGCTAAGGTTTTTTTCTTCTTTGTTGTTTTTACATATAAAGGTCAGAAATTATGATGTTTGAGCAGTCTTTAGACTTGATCTTGTTTAGCCCTTTTATTTTACATTTTGCTTTAGAAGAACAAGGACAGCTGTGAATTCACAAATAAGCAAGTTGCTTGATTAGTATATGTTGTTGTGTGACATGGAGTCTGTTCCAACTCATAGCAGCTCTGTATAGGGTTTCCAAGGAGTGCCTGCTGAGTTAGAACTGCCAACCTTGTGGCTCAAACTGACCTTACAATCCTGTTTTTGAACTCACAGTGTCACACCAAGAAGCACCAAATGTTGCCTCCACATATTTTATATTGTAATTTTTTTTTGATTTTGCAGCATTTTATAATAGTTTTCTATTTTTTTAGAGACTTCCTTTTGCTTTCAAAGTGGTTTGCTGTAGTAACTTTCTGCCTAATTTTCTCATTTTTCCTAACAGTTTCTCTACAATTCTGGGTACTACGTTGGTGTGTTCCTAATGTTTAATGGCAGTCAGTATGACTGAATTCTATTATGAATCTTCTTTATCACTATCTTTTGTTTGGAAAGTTGTGAAAAAAATGTTTTTATAGTTTCTGCTTACTTTAATAATGTAGTCTAACTCATATAATACAGTATCTATGATAATAGTTACAGTTTTGTTTTGTTCTCTTCATTAACAGTTGAAATTTATAAGGCAGTTTTTTCTTTTGGTCAAAAAGTAGACCCCTGTTTAATAAAGACTTTTTCTGAAATCACTCTTATTTATATTTATAATCTTGTTAACCTTTGAAATTCTGAAAAATTATACTAGGTCAAATTGTTCTTATGTAAGCTTTCTTGTGACTTCAAGATTTTCTCTGAATAATGAGTGTTTTCAGATGCACCACACAATGGTGACTTGATAACTACTGTATTTATATGTGAGATAGACTAGTTTTAGAGATAGCCACGTGACAACCAAACATGAACTATTAGTGGGTAAATAATGACTTTTTAAATTTCTCTTTCAGAACAAAGGAAGAACTATGCACGGGACAGTATCAGCAGTATGTCAGAAGTATCCCAGTACCGAGTTGAAGTAAGGTCCTTAAGTGATTGCCAAAGTTTAGAATGACTCTTAGAGGGATATAAACATTGAAGGCAAAATCTGAATTGTGTTTTATTTCATTCCTATGATGTATTTTAAGTTGTGTTGATCTCTTATATTTTTATAAAACGGAGAGGTTACATATTCAAGTATCCTGTTAGACTTAGGTCTGTTTTCATAGAGAATAAATTAAAATGACTACTTTGTCTAAACCCTGCATACACCTCATATTGTCTACAATGATAGCGTTGCTTCTCATTGATCAGTGTCAGCTTTATTTTGGTCACAAGACAGCAGCTTTTATTTGATAATATAAAATCTTGAAATTAAGCCATTGACAGCTTTTAGTAGAAGACTATCTATGTAACCGGAAGCCTGGTGTGGCGCTGTGGGTTAATGTGCCAGACTGCAAAGCCATTTGAACTGCAAGGATGGTAGCTCAAGCTCACCAGCTGCTTCTCGGAACCCTATACAGGGTCGCTATGGGTCAGAACTGACTCGACGGCACTCAACAACAACCACCTATGTAACCACTGCTTATAACAGAAACTATTTAAATAGAGAAATAATTTTTAAATTGTTCTTCCCATTTTCTGCCTTTCTCAGACAAGTTTGTTTCAGTTAGTTGTTTTGGTGAGATAAAAAGTTTGTTAGCAGTTACAGACGAAAATTCTACTGCTACTGTCAAATATCAGCAGGCATAGTTTTAAAACTGCTGTATAGTTTGCTTGGAGTCCTGGTGTGGCGCTGTGGGTTAATGTGCAAGACTGCAAAGCCATTTGAACTGCAAGGTTGGCGGTTCCAGCTCACTAGCTGAAAACCCTATACAGGGTTGCTATGGGTCAGAACCGACTTGATAGCACTTCACAACAACAACAACAACAACAACAATAGTTTGCTTGCTGTTGTCTAGCATTTAATCACAATTGAGTAACGTGGTAGGGAAGCTGATTTTAAGAGAAGGTTATTTAAACGGTTAAATATCTATTTTTATGGCGTTTCTTATATAGTTCAACATGGCTCAGTTCTAAACAGAATTAGCTATATCTCAATGAATGCATCATATATTTTGTTCAATAAAAGCCTGCTTGACTTTATTTTTTAAATAAAATCACCACCAAGTTCTATAGTACTTGGTGTTATCCCTCATATCTCTGATAACTGACCACAATTGTTTGCTTTGCTTTCTTTTGGGAAATACATACTATGATGTAGTTTATGTGTTATAAATACATTTCTCATTTCTGTCCATCACAGCACTTGACAACATTTGTTCTGGATCGGAAAGATGCAATGATAACTGTTGATGATGGAATAAGAAAGTTGAAATTGCTTGATGCCAAGGGCAAAGTATGGATTCAAGATATGATTCTTCAAGTAGATGACAGAGCTGTGAGCCTAATTGATTTTGAGTCCAAGGCAAGTTTGTTCATTTTATACTGTTTTGTGTTCTGGAAAGTTCCACCAGTATTAATGTTTATTTTCAGGATAGAGGGTTTGAAAATGGATGAAAATTTGACGAGATAAAATTAATTTTGTCAGTGATTCCAGGAAAAAACTCATCATATTATACATGTATAACCTGCAAAATCAGTTTTTTAAACTAGAGGTAGAAGACTGTTTTTTATTTTATCCACAAGTAAGGAGATGGAATAAGTGAGGGAAAGTTACATAGTTTTAAAATAAGGTCCTTAGTGGGACCTTATTCTTTATCTCATATGTTAATTACACACTAGGCCAAATCATTGCTTAATAAATGAGTGAATTAAGATGAAATATTTTATTTTCTCTAGCCCCACAGCAAGCACCTTTCTGTAACAACACCCATGGACAGATTTAGGTGCTAGAGCTCTTTAAAAGAGAAATTTTTTTGAGTCCCGTTCTGCAATAAGCATTTAAATTGCTAAGATAAAGGAAACAACTCTATTGCTGATAGGAGTGAGGATAAAATACGTTTAATCTTTCATGTTGCTCATTGGCTATGTTGTGGGAACATAGCAACCAAGTGCTTCTCTGGCTCTCAGGAATTCTAGAGAAGAATGGATATTACTTAAAGTAATTTTGCAAATAAAGAATTTGTTACCGCCATGCTATGGTTTAAGAATTAAACATTTTAATTTCTATTATTTTAAAATCTAAATTTTTATTTGAACAAAGCCTACATTTCTTGATTTACCTTTATTAGATTCCAGGAAATCAGGATTTAAAATCCAATTTATTGAGTCCTGCTATGGTTCTGTAGAATAAACACTAGACCTCAAGGTTGGTTTGAACCATAAGGTCAGTTGTTCAAATTCACCAGCCACTCCTTGGAAACCCTATCAAAGTCATTATGAGTCAGAACCGACTTGACAGCACTTAACAACATACATATGTGTGTGTGGTCCATAATAAAAATTATTTTATTATATCCCTGTCATCGGGGATAGTGTATTTTATTTATCTAAGCAAAATTACAGTTTCTTTTGGCAGTTACATCATTACCTGCTGTTTGTGTAAGGCCATTAGTTTAAGCATTGTTGTTGTTATTAGGTGCTGTCTAACAGTACTGACTCATAACAACCTTATGCACAACAGGACGAAACACTGCTCAGTCCTGTACCAGCCTCACAATCATTGCTACACTTGAGTCCATTGCTGCTGCCACTGTCAGTCCATCTTGTTGGGGGGCGGGGCTTCCTTTTTACGTTGTCTCTCCACTTTACAAATCATGATGTCCTTCTCCAGGGATTGGCCCCTCCTGATAACATGTCCAAAGTATGAGAAGGATAAAACCCAAAAATATATCTCATTAAATACAGATTTCTAATTGTGAAGAAAATGTTCATTTGTTTTAAGAAGTAATTATTTAATGTCTTTAATAATTTATTGGTATAATCTCTGTTAGTGTAGTGGTTACGGGTTGTGTTGCTAACCTCAAGTTCAGCAGTTCAAAACTTCCAGCCATTCCATAGGAGAAAGATGAGGCTTTCTGCTTCTGTAAAGATTTATAGACTTGGAAATCCTCCTGTACAGGGTCACCATGAGTCAGAGTCAAAAACCAAAGATGTCAGTTTGAGGACTAAGGTATGCCTGATCCAAGCCATGGTATTCTCACTTGCCTCATATACATGTAGAAATTGGAGACTTCACAATAATCAGTCAAATCAGTCAATCAACTTTTTATAGGTTGGGGAGTTCACTTGTCCATATTATAAACATACATATTATAAAAAAACTTTTTTTGTTGTTATTGAGAATGTATACAGCAAAAGATACACCATTCCAATAGTTTCCACATGTACATTTAATTGACATTGATTACATTCTTGGAGTTAAACAACCATTCTCACCCTCTTTTTTTGAGTTGTTTTCTCATCTTTAACATAAATTAACTGCTCCTTGAGGTTCTTATCTGTCCTTTTCATTTTAAGGAATATGGTTCTTAGTGAGATCCTTGTGATTCTGTTGTTTGACATTTTTATATGAAGGTCTTCTGATAGTTTTTTTTTTTTTAAATCTTCAATAAGGAGCTCTGGTAACATAGTGGTTACGAATCTGGCTGTGAACCGCAAGTTCAGCAGTTCAAAACTACCAGCGGTTCCGTGGGAGAAAGATGAGGCGTTCTGCTCCTGTAAAGATTTACAGCCTCGGAGACCCTGTGCAGGGGCGCTATGAGTCGGAACCCACTCCACGGCACTTAACAACAATATAAAAAATATCTAAGGGATTTATTATGATTAGCCTAACAGTTGTAATCCCTGAAGGTAGAACCTAAAAGAGTAAATTGATTACATAACAACTCAATGATCAAGTAAAAACAATTTTGACACTACATACCAGCAGTATGAGCATATCATGTAAGATGGTAAATAGTTTGAAAAGATGTGAGTGTATATCTTTTGACCTTAAATGCATCATCATTACCTTATAATCTGAGGAAACTAGCAATATTAACATCAGTATTCTGTTTATTAAACTTACGTGCATTCTTCTGCTGAATCTCTCCATTTTTGTCATTCCTTCTCTTAGCCACCTCCCATCCTATCCCTGTTTCTCTGCTGCCGGCTCATTTGCCAGCTTTACAGTTTTTTCTAGTATTAATTGCAAATGTGATTTGAACACTTTTTATAAAACTTACCCTTATTATTGCAGTGCTTAGATTTTATATATACAGTAAAAAAAAAAACAAGTTATATTTTCACTTTATAGAATGAACTGGAAAATTTTCCATTAAACACAATCCAGCACTGCCAAGCTGTGATGCAGTCCTGCAACTATGATTCAATACTTGCCCTGGTGTGTAAAGAGCCAACCCAGAACAAGCCAGATCTTCATCTTTTCCAGTGTGATGAGATTAAGGTAAAAAGCAAATGGTGATTTTTTTTATTTATTTATTTATTTTTGTTCCTTCCTTCCGGCAAACATTTTGGCAGTTTGTGCATTACCTATTTCAGTCATATGGATATCAGATACTAGATTTTTTGTTTCTTAAACTTATTTTGAGAAGAGCAAACTCTGGTATATTCTTTAGAGTTTCAATGCCATATCTATAAAGAGAAGATAAAGTATAAAAAAAAATGTAAATTCTATTTATTAAAATAATTTGCTCTAGATAATAAATTCTTCATCGAGTACCTTGGATTTATAAATAAACACTGATCTTTCAAAAACCATGCTTCATGGATAATATGTAATTGTACTTTCCTATTTTATGCTGCACATTGCATGGGTTATTTGAATTAAGAATTTAGGTATTTCCCATGATATTGATTTAAAGGTACCATAGTGGTTAAGGATTCAATGACTAACCAAAAAGTATGTGGTGTGAACCCACCAGCTGATCTATGGGAGAAAATCGTAGCAATTTGTTCTTGTAAAGATTCATAGCCTTGGAAACCCTGTGGGGCAATTTTTTGTCTGATAGAGTTGTTATGAGCCAGAAGTGAATTGATGGCTGTTAGTTCCTTTTGGTTGGGTTGGGTTTGGTTATGTGACTTGACTACTTGCTGAGGATTTGTAATTCCTGCCCCTTTCTAATTAGTGCAAGAAAAAGACTTGTCTGAAATCTGTAAGGCATATGCAAAAATAGTTAGACATAGTTATCAGTAATAACAGGAGAAATTCTGAAGGTTTGTGTGTCATAATACACTGTAATTTTAAAATGATTACAATTTTAAATGATTTATTGGACATTAGAAGTTATCTTCAACCTAGAATATCCTTATCTCATGAACTGATTTCTTTAAATGGGAAATTATTTTGTTTTGATTGTACTTTGCCAAAACAGTGATTTATCATTGTGACGGTATATTACAAAATACCGAGATAAATTTTATCTTAAGTAATGCTGGGAGATTAGCCTAAAGAGTTACTTTTCTTTTTGTGGTGCTACGGGCTAATATACTGGACTGTAGGGTCAGTTTGGATCCCAAGGTTGGTGGTTCAAACTCACTAGCCGCTCCTTGGAAACCCTATACAGAGTCACTGTGGGTCAGAACTGACTCGATGGCACTTAACAACAACAACAACTTATCTGTAAATATTAAAATATAGGTACATTTGGATTGATTGTAAACGGTCAATCCTGGCTTCTAAGGAGCACTCTGGCTGTACTTCTTCCAATACAGATCTGTTTGTTCTTCTGGCAGTCCATGATACTTTTAGTATTATTCTCCAGCACCATAGTTCAAATGCATCGATTCTCGTAGGGTCTTCTTTACTCATTGCTCAACTTCCACATCCACATAACGCTACTGAAAATGCTATGACTTGGGTCCGGTACACCTTAGTCCTTACCTTATTCCTCAAGCTGATACTTTTACTATTTAACATTTTAAAGAGGACTTATGCAGCAGAATGGAATCCTAGATCAGGTAATAGTTAAGATTTCCTTCAGCCCTTAAATCTGTCATCATAAAATTCACCATTAACTAACTACAAGACTCCATTTTGAAAGCAGATAAAAAGCCAAAAGGCTTTTACATCAAGACACTCATTGATTCAGACATGTAACATAATTCCCTTTTCACTTTTGACCAGCATATCAAGACTCAACAAATCTGTAATCTCCCAGGTAACTTGTCTCTCTTTCAGGCAAACCTAATTAGTGAAGATATTGAAAGTGCAATCAGTGACAGTAAAGGAGGGAAACAGAAGAGGCGGCCTGATGCCCTGAGGTAAAAGCATTAAAAGAAATTAAGGGTGGGATTGATTTGTTTTTAAGCTTTTATTCCCCTAAAGGGTTAGAAAAAAATATTTCCAATGGCGGTATGTTATTATATTTTATAGATTACAATATGGCATCTAAATTCATTTGCTCTCCCAGCATTATCAGTATGCTTGTTCTTCTGTTCTCTCTGTTTTTGGTCTTTCTCTGATTTGGCTTCTCCAAATTATGTTGGGAGTCATAGAGAGTCATGAAAGATGAGTGGTGCCCAAGGGAATATAAACTAGACATTAGGAATACCTTTGGTACACAACATTTCTCAGATTACATGAGACCTAGAAAAAACGAAATCCAACTTAGTTCTCAGCTGAATTTAAATGCTTCTGTGTTTTTGTATTTTGCATACATCTATAAATGTATATAATATAGAATAGCAAGAGATTTTTTGTTATCCTGTTTTTCATAGTTCTTCTTTTTTTTTAACTTGTTTTTATGATTTGAGTGAAAGCATACAGAGTGAATTAGTTTTCCATTCAACAATTCATATACACTAGGTTTTCTGACATTGTTTACAGTCCCCACTATGTAATAGCACTCTTCCCACTTCCTCCCTGTGTTTACCATTTCATTTGCTCTTTTTCCTGTCTTTTCCTGCCTTCTGAGTTTTATCCCTGGACACATGCTGCCGTTTTGACCTCATATGGTTGGACGTTTTTAAGGAGTCCTGGTAACATAATGGTTACATATGGGGCTGCTAACCAAAAGATCAATAGTTCAAATCTGCCAGCTGCTCCACAGGAGAAAGATGACGTTTCTTTTCCTGTAAAGATTTGGAGTCCTAGCGTGGTGCGCTGTAGTATAAGCACTGGACCTAAAGTTTGTTTTGAGCTGAAAAGTTGGCGGTTCAAACTCACCAGCTGCTCCTTGGAAATGCTATAAAGGGTCATTGTGAGTTAGAACAGACTCAGTGGCACTGAACAACAATTGTCTGAAAGTTGATCCGTGGATATGAGTTCAATTCCAAGCTTAAAGGGTATGTAAGGGCTATGGTGTGGCAATGTAGGTTAATGCGCCAGACTGAAAAACCATTTGAACTGCAAGGTTGGCAGTTAAAGCTCACCAGCTGCTCCTTGGAAACCCTGTATAGGGTTGCTATGGGTCAGAACCAACTCAACAGCACTTAACAACAACAACAACAGCAACAACAGGACTATAGTCTTAGAAATTCCAACATTCTCTTGATAGACTAGTAAGCTTGGTGTTTTTTTTTGTTGTTGTTATTTTGTGTGTGTGTGTTCATATTTTTCTCCTACTCTACATAGGACTTCGTATTATGAACCCTTTCAGAGTACTCAACAGTGGTAGATGGGCAACACCTAGTTCTTCTGGTCTCAGGGTCCTGGAGGCTGAGGTTTCCATAACCCATTTGTCTTTGGATTATTTCCATGTATCTTTTTTGTTGTTTTTCTTCTTCTCACACTTTTTTGCTCTGATTGGGAAGAAACCAGTAGTTGCACCTCAGATGGCCTCTCACAAGCTTTCAAGACTCCATTTGCTACTCATGAAAGTAGGATTTAGAACATTGTCTTCGTGGACAATTATGCCAATTGACCTTGATGGCCCCTGAACTATGGTCCTGAGTCCGTAGATGACATGGTTCTCTGTGAATTAAAAGAACTATGCTGAAATCATTTTGGTGTTATGGAAATGGGATGCTAATGATTTAGTTTGTTTTTCAGAATGATTTCCAAAGCAGATCCTGGTATACCGCCCCCACCAAGAGCTCCTGCACCTGTGCCCCCTGGAACTGTTACCCAGGTGGATGTCAGAAGTCGGGTGGCAGCCTGGTCTGCATGGGCAGCTGACCAAGGGGACTGTGAGTACCTCTAGAATGATTACTCACTGAGCATTTATTGTGGACTAAGATATAATTGTTGCTTAGGGCATACCTGGAATTCCTAATGACTATATTTCAGCTTCAACTTACTGAAGTATTTTCTATAGTACACTGTAAGCCAAGATAACAGGCAATCACATGTAAAATAGCAACTAACTGGCAATATTCCATACATATATATTTTAATTAACTTAAAATACTTGGTTGGTTGGTTAGTTATGTGCCGTGGAGTCGGTTCCAACTCATAGCGACCTTGTACAGGGTTTCTGAGGCTGTAAATCTTTACGGTAGCAGAACGCCTCATCTTTCTCCTGCGGAACAGCTGGTAATTTCGAACTGCTAACCTTGAAGTTTGCAGCCCAATTCATAACCACTACGCTACCAAAATACTTAACAGCTGCTAATTCAGTTTCATGAGACTGAATGATTCTTTTACCTTCTTTTCTCCCCCCTTCTTTGTTAGCAGACCTTCCACTTATGAGTGAGTTAGGCATTGAGGAGGCATATCAATACAGAGTTTTCAATATTATTTTCTGTTCTCTGTATTGAATACCCTGAGTCATGATGTGTTATGAGTTGTATTTCCATTAGTGGTGATTGATGCATTTCTCCTGTTCCATCCATCCATTTCTTTTTACTTAATCTACTGTGAAATCTTTGTTAACAACAATCTGTGTTTAGTGGTGTTTGTTAACTGACTAATAACAGGAAGTTCATGAAATGACCTCATGATTAATCTCATTCTCTAGCCAACTAAGCTAACTAACATTTTGAATGTGCTTATGACATCTTTTCATTAACTTTCCACTTCCTGTAGTAGATCCATCTGCTGTCAGAGCACATGGACTTTAACTAATGAGCTGAACACTGTGGGTTTCAATTTTAATTGTATAACTAGAATTTTAAGAAGCAATTTACTATCAGAACTTCCAAAGGTTGATTTGTAATCATAGTATTAGGATGCATAAAAATTAGTAGCTTTCTTAGCTGACCTTTTTTTTTTTTTAAAGAATGTGCTCAGATACCCAGGTTGTATTCCTTTCTTGTATGGAAATTAAAGGCACTGAGCCATGGTGGCACAAATGTTAAGTGCTCAGCTGCTAGTTGAAAGGTCAGCAGCTCTAACTCATTAGCTGCTCCTAGAGAGAAAGATGTATGCTTCCTTAAATGTGTACAGCCTTGGGCAGTTCCACGGTGTCCTTTAGGAAACTATGAATTGGAAATTGACTCATTGGCAACAGGTTTGTATTTTTTTGATTGTTTTAAGGGTTGATCCAAGAAGCCTTAATGGCACAATGGTTAAGTGTTCCTGGTGTGGTGCTGTGGGTTAATGCACCACACTGCAAAGCCATTTGAACTGTAAGGCCAGTCGTTCAAGCTCACCAGCTTCTCCTTGGAAACCCTATATTGGGTCGCTATGGGTTGGAATCGACTTGACGGCACTTAGCAACAACAATGGGCAAAAAGATTTTGGCACTTCAAACCCACCAGCTGATTTGTGGTAGAAAGATGTGGCAGTCTGTGTCCACAAGGATTTACAGCTTTGGAAACACTATGGGGAATTCTACTCTGTCCTCCAGGTAGCTTGAGTCTGAATCAACTCAGTGAAAATGAAGTTGGCCTTTTTTTTTCTTTTTTTTTAATTAATTTGTTTGGAGAGTTGGTTCCCCAGGTAACCAACACAGGAAGGGAGAGAATAGAGGGGAAATGATAAGGTAAATCAACATTATAAAGGTAGGAAGATCATTATTTTAGTTCTGTCTAGATGCTTGTATTAGGGGGTGGCAAAGATGCATATCATGGATGAGGACCACATTCCTGATTTATGTTTCCATCTATGTTAGGTATTCTCATATGTAAATGTCACTGTCTTCTAACCAATTCTCATGCTTAATTACTTAGATTAGTATATCTTGAGCAACAGGTTCCCAAACTGACACTTCTTGAATTTTCTTTAGTTGAGAAATCAAGGCAGTATTATGAACAGGAAGAAACACCTGAGATGATGGCAGCCCGGATTGACAGAGATGTAGTAAGTACAGTGGTCATTCTTAGGACTGAATTTTTTATTTATTATTATTTTTAAAGAATAATAGCAACAACATTGTAAAAAATCAGTGAAGCCACAGTTGACCGAAAAAAAAAAAGTTTTATGAAAACTATTTTGTGTCCAGTGGTTGTTAGGCCCTTTGTACTGCTTTTGTTTTTTGGAACTATTTTTGCCTTAATGTCAATATTCAATCACAAGGGTTTAACTAAAAGATATAAACTATTAAATAGCTTGCAAAATAATTAAAGTTTCAAGTTTGAAGGGTAGTCCAGTTGTTTTTTTTTTCTTGTAGCTTGAAATTCATACTTGAAATACCTCTGTGAGTTCTTGACATTTATTATGACATATTTTAGCATGTCTGAAAGACAAAAGTGGCATTTTTGTGAAGAATATATATGTAAATTTTAATTCTTTGTAAAAGATAAGTTCATGTTTATTTGTATTTCTTCACAGTAGTTTACTTGTTGAATAATAGTATCCCATGAATGATCATAGAATATCATGTTAATACAATTATATTTTAAAATATACCTGTGTTACTACGTGATATTATACTCAGAAACAAATACTTAAAGAATTTGGAATTTGAAATTTAGTTTTTAAATAACATTATTACTGTTTATAACTTATAAGCTTATTTAATTATAATTTCTGGTCTTTAATTGGAGGAATGCTAAGTTTTATCACACTGGAGAAAATCAACTTACATCCAATGATCCCTGAAACTACACTGCATAATTAATTACATTTTACCATGTCAAGGCATGTATTGATGCCTATTATTATAGATTAGCTATGAACTTGATTAGTTATGACATTATTCTATGTACCTTCTAGTCAAAGAAGTAATATTGTCAGTATTTTATTGGAACATTTATTAGAAAAGCAAATAGCACATTGCTTTTCCAACAAAATGTTTCTTAAAATTTTATTTCACCAACATTTGTGGGAGAACACTGAAAGAATTAGGGGTAATTGAAAATGATTAATAATCTGAGTAGATATTGTGAATGCTTTCTTGATGACATTGAAAACAACAGAATTAAGCTAAAAAATTTATAAATATCAGACATTAGCCACAGGTATGTTTTTCTTACAAATAATGATGAAATTGAAATTTGCCTGTGGGAGGTTTTTCCCTTGTGTTTTTAGCTTTGATTTTTTTTTTTTTTAAACTAACTATATATATAGCTAAGGAAAAATAGTTTTATTTCTTTTGATATTTTATTCTGTAAATTCTAATTCTAGCAAATTTTAAATCACATTTTGGATGACATTGAGTTTTTTATCACAAAACTCCAAAAAGCAGCTGAAGCATTTTCTGAGCTTTCTAAAAGGAAGAAGACTAAAAAAAGTAAAAAGAAAGGACCAGGAGGTAAGTTGAATTTATGCTTTACTCTTCCAAAGACCATTTAGAACTTCACTGTTAAAGATTTTGCTTTTCTGAATTAATTACTCAACAAAACGATTGACACTGGAACCAAGAAAGCATTTTTAATTCGAGTGTACCAACAGAGATCAGAGATTAAGGTGAAGATCAAAGTGTTTCCATGGAAGAAACTATTTTGGTTGTGAGTTTACTGCAGTGAAGAGAGCCCTGTGATGATTAATCTAAATCACAGAGATTCTGAGATTCAGGTAGTGACCATTTATCTACAGTTTTCCTAAGTGATTCTAAAATCTGTTAAAGAAAGTCATTGAACAAGGTTGGTGATCCAAACCCACCAGCCACTCCTCAGAAACCCTATACGGAGTCACTATGAATTGGAACTGACTTGATATTAGAACCTTTTCACATTTCGATTTATTTTATTGTAATTATAGAATCTCATTATTTTGATGTCTATTTTCTATCTGAAATAACCGGGGATATGAATGCATTTGAACTTTTTTTTCCACCAGGGAATTCCAAAAAGCACATTCAGTTCACATACAAAGTCATATACAAGTAGCTTGTAAATATGTTGCAGTTCAGCTATTTAAAATGGCCTCAAAGTATGAACAATTGTAATTATATACAACTTTTCATACCTCTAATGGCAATTATATAGATTGAAATTTATAAAGCATAAACAAAACCCAAACTTATTGCTATCGAGTTGACTCAGCAAATCTATAGGCAGAGTAGAATTGGCTCATATGGTTTCTAAGGCTGTAATCTTCATGGAAGCAGACTGCCACATCTTTCTCCTGTGGGGTGGCTGATGACTTTGAACTAGTAGCTTTTGCCACACTTGTCAGGTAGCAGTTTAGCACTTAACCGTTGTGCCACTAAGACTCCTTATACTGTTGTTGTTATTGTTGTTAAGTGCTGTCAAGTCGGTTGCAACCCAGAGGGACCCTGTATAGGGTTTCCAAGGAGCAGCTGGTGAGCTTAAACGGCCAACCTTGCAGTTCAAATGGCTTTTCAGTCTGGTGCATTAACCCACCCACAGTGCCACCCCAGGACTCCCTATATGTAAAACATACTACTAATAAACACTGCTTCTATTATAGATAACTTGCAAATTTTTCTCTAGCTCATAGTTATGCCATAAACATTTGACCTGCAGCTTTGTCTTCTCAATGTATAAATCTGGAATTACCTCCCCTCTACATACTCCAAATTAGGGTAGCTACAGGTCGGAACTGACTTGAAGGCACTTAACAACATATTCCAAATTAAGTATCATTGCTTCCTGATTTCTCAAACCACTGACTCTTGTACTCTTTATGAACGGTACACTGTTCTCTATAATTTTCAAAACATAATCCTCTGCTACTTCATTCTCTAGCTTATTTTGTTGTTTTTATTTGGTACCATCGAGTCGGTTCCGACTCATAATGACGCTGTGTACAATAGAACATCAATTCTATTTCCTCAGTGTCTCTTGTGTTTAGTTGTTCTCTTTTAATTTTTTAAAAACTTTTTATTGTGTATTGAATGAAGGTTTATAGAACAGATCATCAACTTTACTTTCAACAGATCATACACTTTGTTTCATCTCAACGATGACAATCCCCTCCCTGCAACAACAGCTATCCTGCTGCCTCCATGTGATTTCCATTTGCAACCACCCATCTTCCTATCCCTTCCCAACTTTGTCCATAGGAAAATGTTGCCCTTTTGATTTTGAATGATTGACCATTCCAGGGTGAGCATACCTTGCTAGTATAGTTTCCCACCCTGTAGCTCCATCTGTTGCTTGGCTGAAAATTGGGCTACAAGGTTGAGTTCCTTTCCGGACCTGTAGGGTGGTTGAGAGCCATAAACTCAGGTTCCTCCAGTGTCTTTCTGACCAGTAAACCTGGTCTTGTTCTAAAAAATAACTATGAGTTTTGTTCCACATTTTCTCCATCTCTGTCTGGGACCCTCTAATATGATCCCTTTCAGGATGGTTTGTAGTAGTAGCTGGGCACCCTCTAGTTCTTCTGATCTCAGAATTGTGGAGACTGATGTTCACATGTTCCATTAGTCCATTGGACTAGTTGATGCCAAACCTCTTCCATTCTTAACACTCTTCTTTCATCTACACATGGAGAGACCACAAACTGCACCGTAGATGGCTGCTTTGGTCTTTCAGATCGCAGACAATACTCACCCAAGTAGGTTGTAGAACATTGTCTTTGTGGACTATGCTATGCCAATTGACCATGGTGTTTCCTGCACTCCCAGACCCAGCAACTCATTGCCTTAAGATGTTTGATAATATCTAGGAAGTTTTCATCATTGTGCCTACTGTATGTGCTCCGTCACACTCATAGTTGTGTTTGCAGGAAGGGTAAATACTCATATACAAATATTCTCTTTCAGACTCATATATATTGGGACATATATATCCCACTCTTCTTCCCTTACCCATTCAGCCTACATCTCAATCCATGTATCAACGCACAGAACACTGTTGTTCAAACATTGTGTATATACCACTATTTATCTCTATCCCCTTTAGCCCATGTGTACCTTCCTGTGTCCTAAACCTGTCTTCATTTTTTGTGCTGCCCTCACTCTTCTGGTATACTGACCTCCCCTTTCTTGTATATTGCCCTCTCCCTTGTAATCAGCATCCCAGTTCAAAATGTCTTCATTTTTTGCCCATCTTCCTAATTAATTAGTCTTAAGCCTATACTCTTTGCTAAAAGCCTATAGTCCTGCTATGAGGACAGTCACCTTTAAAGTCTTAGATGAATTTGTTGACTGTTTCCAAAAGTCACTTCATTCTGCTATATAATGTTAGTTCTTTGTTCTGTTGATTTCAATCCAGCTCCTCACTCTGACAGTCAAGGTCACCTGTCTACTTTCATCACCTTGAATTACTTTTCCATTCTCATGTTTCTCTACTTTTTGTTTGTTGTATCATGTGTATGCAGTTTCCTTTCTCTGCCTTATTCAACCATGCTGTTTTTCCTACCAACTTGCCCTGGAACAGACCTTTCAAATTCCATCTTAAAAGCTGTTTCACCCATGAAACAATTTTTAGCAATGTATTTCCCCATCTCCCAACCAGAAGCAGTCTCTTTCCATAATGCTTATTTGGCACATCTCTGTTATTTATTAATTAATTCAAATCTTCTATTAGATTTGTAGGACCCTTAAGGACAGAGCCTGTAGTTTACTCATTTTTATAATCTTCACAGTAATAAACACAATCCTAGCACACAGAAGAGATAATAGTGTCTAGTTATGAAATGAATTTGAGTGATTCGTCATGTCTAAAGGTTAAAAGGGAGTCCTGGGAGGGTAGTGGTTAAACGTTGGGCTGCTAGCCTCAAGGTCAGCTGTTTGTACTAACTGGTCCATGGGAGAAAGATGAGGCTTTCTGCTCCTGTAAAGATTTACTGTCTCGGAAACCCTATACAGGGTCATTATGAGTTGGAACTGACTCAAC